TTTTTCTTGCTACAGTCTTTGAATGGCAGAGTTGGTCAAACGTGTCAACTCCACCTTTTGTTTCATTGTTAGTTTCTTTGTAAGTAATTTATCTGCCAGTTCAATAGAGGAAAACCAGTTATCCATAGTTGTGTTTCTGTTGGTATTTTCAATATCTTTTGATAGCCTCATAACATATTGTGTAGGAATAGATTCTTGACTCGGATCCCGTTTCTTTTACAATGTACGGTATCGCAGAACACATATAAAAAGTTTTGGCATCGCACATCATAACGACTTTTAGGCCATATTTATCTGGTTTGCTCGGTATATACATCTTGAATGGGCATTGGCCTCAAACTCAAAAGTTGCTCGTCGACTGTAACATATTCAGAAGGCGTGTAGCTGTCTTGACAATTTTTTACATATGTATGTATATCCCAAACTTCTCTTAGCGCTGCAAGTTTGTCCAAAGCCTTTCTATCTGTTCTTGTATTTTTACCATCACATCGCAGACAGTTCAAAAGAAATTCAAATCGATTTAGACTCATCGTTAATCGAAATATTGGGATCCCAAATTTTGTTGACCACAGTTCTTCTAATGATAGTTTACTGGCTTTTAAGACACCAGCATAATACAGCAATCCAAACAAAGCCAGTAATTCTACTTTATTTGTATCTTGCAAATATCTTTGTTCTGTTTTATAAGAGGCTCTTCGCAGCTCTATTTCTTGATTATTATGTTCTACTATTATGGATAAAATGTCAGAAAAAAATAACTGCCAAATTTGTTTTAGATTCAGATGTTGTCTAGCTTTACTTTTTGGTCCGGGTAAGTGGATTACAATATTTTTTCTTGATGTTTTAGAAAACTTTGACTGACAAGGATGTGCATAAAACTTATTTCCATTACGTCCATATATAGTTGGATATTTCTTATTTGGAGAAGGTGATGGTGTGTTTTCTTCTAATGTGTTTTCTTCTAATATGTTTTCTTCTAATATGTTTTCTTCTAATATGTTTTGATATTCAATATTTTCTAATATCTGAATCTCATCTTCTTCTTTATCATATTCCAAAACGCCATCTTCGTCTTTACTTTTGTTTTCACGTTCCATGTTTTCTTCATCTTCGCTTCCTTCTTCATAAAGAATTTTCCAGAGTTCCGCATCATTTAAAGGTTGTTTAGGGTCATCCATTTTATATTCCCTGTAAAGTATATGGTATTTCAAACATACATTATGAATATATATAAAAAAAGTAATAAAAGTTGTACCTACCGGAACAAAAAACTTCATACACAAACCACAACGTGGGGTCAAAAACGCAATAGTCATCAAATACTAGGTACGTGTCAAAGTGAACAGATCCGAACACACATTAACCGAGACAGGTTATCGTCACTTGAGGATAGCTGAACCCCACCCGTCTGTCCAAAATACAAACATGCAAATGTAGGCGCAAGGGTCACCAGCGACCCCACGTTGTGGTTCTAGGGTTAATAATAGTGCTGTTGAGGAATGCATTTATTTTCATTATGATATTTCAAAATTTAAAGCCCTTTGATTTTTTTCTTGGAAACTGGAAGGAATTAAAACTTTAAAATATATTCATATTCTAGATATTATTGCCTTATTTAGTTTCCCAAAATTTAAATTTTTTAAAAAATTAGTTTTTGAGATATGCTTGTCCGAAAATTATAAGGGGTGCTGTAATCACCTTAATGTTTAATAACAATTCTGGCCTGGCCGTATTTTAAATTGACCTCATGGGTTATGATGGAATCCACAATTGCAATGAGACAGAGATATAACAGCATATGCGCCCGCCTTGTAGTTGAAAAGAGACAAGTAATTGTCGACGACCGACCAATAATATCTATGATAATGCACGTGCTCGAAAGCACCCAGGCATACGAAGCATCAGCATCATACGTTTGTGAAAACAAAAACCCAAACAAAAGGTTCGGCTTAAAGTTGTTTACGTGTTTTGTTTCGTCTTGTGTTTCAGTGTATGAATTTTCAAAATGGTCTTTTTTTGACTATATCTTGTATTTGCTGTATTTAAAAGTAAAAAATAAAAAAAAATTGTTGGTACCCATGGTTTGTGCACAACACTCTAAAAAATTTTCCAATGCGGGCCAGGGTCGGCTTTGCCTGCGGCACTATCCACCACAATTTGACCCACACCTACAATAACTCACGGGTCGCGCCTGCTCATGATCGCGATTAGCCACGTTTCATAAGCATGCGCGCCTAATGCAGGGATAAACACTCGCTTAGAAACAGTTTATCAGATGACTCCAGTTCACATTGTATTCTGCTAAAAGTAACAAAGTATGAACAATTATTACGCAATTCACCCAACTACTTTTACTTAGAGGGGAGCGAAGTGACTTGTCCTTTGGGGGTTGAAATATTTTTTTCGTCTCAAAGTTCAATCTATCGTACTCGAAGTTCATTTTCCTGAGTCTAGGGATTCAATATATTGACCTCCCCTGGGGTGGGATGTGAAGTAAGTGGTGGGGGAAGTTGGGCGGTTTGAAATCGTTTCAGGCAGGACCCGCTTTTAGTTTTTTTCTACCCCTTGCCATTTAGGCGTGGCAGAGGAAGGTAAGGGAAGTATTTTTTTGTTTTTCGCGCTTCTTTATTCATCCATGTATTGGGTGGCACAAAATTGATCGAATACATTTGATCAAAAAAACCCAATATACATAAAATTAAAAAAAAAAAAAACTCAACTAATTTTCCTAACTTGTGTGGCCTAGAGCCATCGCTGGTTGCTTTGCAAAAAATATACAAGAAATGAAACAAATTAAAAAAACTAATTTACCTAACCTGTGCGAAAGCAATCAGTTTAAATTTAAATGGCAACCATCGATGGCTTCAGGCCGCACAGGTTAGGTAAATTAGTTTTTTATAAAAAAACTTAATATATCTCACCTGTGCGAGGGCAATCAATAAAATTTAAATGGCTTCAGATCGCACAGATTACGTAAATTAGTTACGTTTTTTTATTTTTCTTATTTTTTTGTAAAGCAACCCTAGACGACCACAGGCTGCACAGATTAAGGGTTTAAGTTAAGTTTTTTAATTTTTCTATTTTTGTATATTTGCTTTGCGAGGCAAACCGCGATGGCTCCAGGCCGGACAGGGAAACAACTCGACCTTAATGCATATTGTGTGCGAATTAATCACAATGCTTTAATCTCAATGACTATAAATATACTCATTTAGCTCTGAAAATATTAATTGGTAAATTTTTAATTTTTTTTTAAACTATTGTAGGGATAAAATTTGTTAAATGAATAAGCAGCTACGTTTGAGATTATCGAAAAATTTGTCATTAATACCTAATTTGACGAAAGATTTTCCCCGTAATAGGGATTAGACGAACGGTTGCATAGTTTTTTAAATTTTACTATTTTTATTGTTCATTTTCGATATATTGTTCTTTGGATCTTATGCATTTTAGATCTATTGTCTTTTCGATAAAATTTTATCTGATAAAATATAACTCCGAACAAATGTTATTCGATAAAATATATTTTCGATCAAATGTCATTCGACAAAATATATTTTCGGTCAAATTTCCAACTCGATCAAATGATTTTCGATCAATTTTTTGCTACCCCCATGTAATATTGTCCATGTCGGTTCGAAATTAAAGGGTGCTCATGTTCGCTATAGGCTAATTTTATGAGTCAATCATTATTCATAATTGTGGATCATTGGATTTCATTTATGAAACGTTGGAAAAAAATTTTAATAATTTGTTTAAAGCTCGTCAATAGTTACTAAACAAAACTAAAAAAATAAAATCGGTTCACAAACAGAAGAGAAAATGATACTTAACAATTTGTCTTTGCCTATTTATATATAGATTTTGTTTTGTGTTAGGTAATTTACTGTAAAAAAAATTTTTTTTTTAAGAAAATGATTGTGGAGATACCCGTTTTTATGTTTGTTTGGGTTATCTCTGGAGTTACAATTTTTACATATCATAAAATTTAACAGACATGCCAACAAGGTAGAGGTTTGTAATTTTAAGAGCTTACGTATTTAGGATTTTATTAATAGATGGCACAATAATAATATTTTCTGTAATAAGTATTAGAAATTAAAAATAAAAAAAAAACGACTTTAAAAACGTGTAGATGCCATCACCACATCTTAACCAAATTCATATGGGACCACCACTGAGGTACCTCCTTACTAGCAAAAAAAGAATCATATAAATCGGACAAGGTGGTAAAGCATTATCGCTAAACATATGTACATAAAAAAATGAAGAGTTTGAGAATTTTCTCATGGACCCAATTATTAGATTTTGAACAAATTTATATGGGACCACCCCTGAAGTACCCCCTTTCCAACAAAAAAAGAATTATTAAAATCGGACACCGTGTTAAAGAATTATCGCTGAACATACATAAAAAAAAAATAATATCGCAAGGAATTGAGAACCTCCTCCTTTTTTTGAAGTCGGTTAAAAAGTGGAGTTAGAAGGTTTTCATGTTAAGGTAACGTTATCCTGGATTTAAAATTTAACCTTCTTTTATGCAACCCAATATTATAGTGGATATTATATGGATATTTATTATCTCTAGATTTTGTTTTTGTTATCTAAGATAATGTCATTTTTCGGTTGTAATATTTAGAGAGAAATTCAACGACTTAAACCGCATCTTTGACTTACTCAAAATTGTTTGTTGACACGTCATGGCTATATTATTTTTTTTTTTAAATAAATGGAACGTAGAAGTCATCTCTACATAGTATCTAATCAATCATTCTATAAACAAATACTTTAAAACGTTCTGTATAGATTAATTTTAATAACTAATAAACATACACTGTTGACATTGACATAAAATGGCAATAAAAAGAGGAATTTAATAAAAAATAAGCCATAAAAATAGTTTAGTTCAAGAATGCATTGATACAAAACCATAAAATAGCAAAAAAAACACAAATTATGATTCTAAATTCCAATAAATATTTTACGATTTTCTGATTCAGATGCACCCAAACCAGTCATCAACCAACAAAATCAGTACAAAGGTGTGGTATTAAAGGATCTAGTTGACTCAGAAAAAGCGCATGTTACCGAACTTGAAGGCCTAGTCACAAATTTCTTGCAGCCACTCGAGAAAAGTTCCATGTAAGTATTTTAAATGTTAAAGTTATTTTTAAACATGAAAAGTAAGTTTGTATACATTTGAAGCATGAAAATACACAATTTTTAGTGGAACTCTATTATATGCTCAAAAATTATATTTCGAATTTTAGCATTTAGTTTGAACACACATTTCTTTTTTATTCAGTTTAACTCCAGATGAGTACAAACAACTCACTGGTAACATCACAGAGGTTTTAGAGACTCACCAACAGTTGTTGAACCTCATAGAAATAGAATCTAACAAACCGGGGCAAGATCAAAAAGTGGGAAAATTGTTTCTGAATTGGGCTCCCAGAATAAAGAACATTCATCAGGCTTACTGTTCACTACACCCAAAAGCCGTATGCATTCTGGACAAGTACAGGTAAGAATATCGGATGTCCCAAAGAGTATTGACCCATTTTAAAATAGAAAAAACTACTAGAAAGTTACTTTATTTAATTTCATCTTTATAGGGATGAACTTACCAAATACATGGAATCTAAAGGGGCATCTAGTCCAGGTGTATTAGTCCTAACAACAATGTTGAGCAAACCTTTTAGAAGATTAGACAAATACTCTGGTATGCTCCAAGAGCTAGAAAGGCACGTCGAAGAATGCCATCCAGACAGAGGCGACACTCAACGATCTGTCAGCGTATATAAAGAAATAGCCGTAAGTATTTGTCAAATGTCAGTGAGACAACTGTCAAAGCCTTTGCGTAAAATAATAAATTTATTGAAAATTGTGATTCTTAGTGAATTTTATAACTTAAGTACCAGCTCTGTCAAATATGTCAGTGACATTGTTTTAGGGTTGCTACTGAAGTTATTAATGTTACTTTTTGTCAACTCATGGCATCAATTGGTCACGTGGTATAAGAGTATTGTTGAAGACTCTGTACAATTTTGTCAATTGTCATCTGTTATATTGTTATTTATATTGATTTTGTTTTTAGGCAACTTGTTCGGCCACCAGAAGGCAAAAAGAATTGGAACTTCAAGTACTGACAGGTCCCGTGAAAGGTTGGGAAGGTCCTAGTCTTACGACGTTGGGCGATATTATTTACATGGGTTTGGTTTCTGTGGGGCCGCAACACAACGATAGATATTTCGTGTTGTTTCCGTCCACGCTGTTGATACTCAGCGTCAGTCATAGGTTAAGCGCTTTTATCTACGAGGTAAGTCGAAAGAAACTCATGTATTAACTTAGTAGTTCAAATGTAATGGATGTTACATTTTTTTTAAAATACTGCAAAATTAAATGCAGTGTTAAAAAGGTAAAACAAGTAATGTTGAATGCATTAATTGAAGTAGTTCAAATGCATCACATTTAAAAACCCTCGATCACATAATTATCGGTATTTTATTAGAGAGTAAGTATATATTATTTTAATCGTCAATTCAATTAGTAGTTCAAATGTACCGTATGTTAAATTTCGTAAAAAAATCTTGTTAATAATGAAATAAGTATTTATAAACCTTTAAATACATAATAAATCAGATTCACTAGTAAATAGCATTTGTATTTATAAAAATATGTATTATGTATATATCAATATGCTTTAAATTAGTAGTTCAACTGTACCGGGCGATTTCATATTTTTTTTTTATAAATTAATCATGCTTTTAATTAGTAGTTCAAATGTCAAATGTTAAGTTTCATTAAACACTTAAATGAAATTTCTTATAAATTAATCATGAATTGAGTTAATAGTTCACTCGTACCGAATGGAAAATTTATGTAAAAATGACTGCTAAATGAAATTCTTATATATTAATGGATCGAGTTAGTAGTTAAAATGTTCCGAGTGTTAAATTTCATTGAAAACTACTGCAAAATGAAATTTATTATAGTTTAATCCTGAATTGAGTTAGTAGTTCAAATGTACCGGGTATTAAATTTCAATAATTTCTTTCTTGTGTAAATTAATCAGGATTTTAGTTAGTAGTTGAAATGTACCAGATGTTAAATTTTATTAAAAACTACGGTAATTAATTTTTTTATGAGTTAGTCATGAATTGAGTTAGTTTTTCAAATGTCAGATGTTAAAAATTTCATTAAAAACTACTGTCAAATGAAATTTGTTAAAACCACCAAACCAAAAACCCTTTTTCACCTTCCTCTCTCCATCGATATTCCTCTTGATCCCACTCGAACTCTCACTTTGCGTCTGCCCGGGGTTCTTTTTCACGTTATTGAATGATAATGATTGGCTGCTTTTACAATGGTCCAGTTACACAAACCAAAACGACGCTTTTTATTATTTTTATTCAAGTGGGACATTTGTTGATTAAATAACATTCCTTTCCACGCATTTTGAATTTTTAAACTCTTATTTAGGATCTGTAATCTTTCACTTTTAAAAATAAATAATTTTTTTAAACTTCTCACCCTGTATATAACTTACCGGAAGTATAACTAGTTTTGAGCCAGAAAGGAGCCTTACCCACATACAAAATTTGAAGTTTTTCTCCAAAGTCCTTTTTGAGCCAGACCGAGGGAAGTAAACAAAAAGGTTGATGATTGCTATTTTTTTTTTGCGGTTACTCAATGATCATAAACGATCTTATTTTAACTCCAAAGAACATTCTAAAAATCACTAAAGTTTCTAACCTGAATAAATAGGGCATTAAAAAAATATATATATGACGCAGTGTCTCTGGTATTGGCTGGTTACAGATTGTGCATATTTCGCCATTAGTTTTGTAAACGTTGCTATTGAATGTAAATTGCAGAATTGTTTTACTAGCTGTCTGAATTTGAGCAATAACCCGAGTGATGTACATCAGCAGTTTAACTTTTAGCTAACTCTGAGTATTGGTTCGTAAATACTGTTAGATTAATGAAAAAGATGAACTGATTAGTAGGCTTTAATCATGTTCAAGCAGCTTAGTTTGAATTCGGGTTAGAATTTTTCAAAGTAGACCGATTTAGATAGTTCAGAAAATTATCAAGTTGCCTTAGATCCAAGAAATGTTCGTATTGTTGTTAAACCCAGTTAAATTTGTGGTACCGTTCGGATTGCTTACTATAATTTTTGTATTTTAATTTCGTCAATGTGTTAAGTAACAATAACTAATTAACTAACTAATTGCAGTAGTTCGAACGAACCGTAAGCATATAAAAATATGTATAATTTTCCAAGGGTAAACTCTTCCTGTCTGGTTTGACCGTGACAAGACTCGAAGACACTGACCAATACAAGAACGCCTTCGAAATCAGCGCCCCCATGATCGACAAAAGAATTGTAACGTGCCAAAATAAGGACGACGCCGATCATTGGACTGAACTGCTTAGAAAACAAATGCCCAGGGTGTCAACAGCGTCGACGGTCAGCCAAAAGGTGGCGCCATCGCAGGCGCAGTTCGTTCCACAGCCGCCTCCGCACGTAAGTAGAACCGTTTTATAATACCGAGTGTCAATTTCTCTAATGGGGCTGTCACTCACATGTCACTAGTCTTTTTTGTTTATAAAAAATGTTTTTCATGTTCGTTTATGCTTGTTACATTAATGTGTTTTTGATATTTATTCGTCGTTTTTTTTTAACATTTACTCGTTCTGTTTTACATATATATTTTTTGGATAAATATTTATTTTTAATTTGGCAATTATTTACTTTAATTTGGTAATTATTTACTTTTAATTTGGTAATATTATTTACTTTTTATTCACATTGTGTTTTTTTTTTTAAATTCATTTTAGGTTATTTTACATCCATTCACCTTTTTTGATGTTTTAAGGTGTTTTTTTGGTTTTTTTACATTATTTCTTCATTTTTTCGTTTATTCATGTCTTTTTGACAGTTTTGTATTTATTCATGGGTTTTGGGCATTTATATTTGTTTATGTTTAACAAGAACCGTTTTAGAATATCTAATGTCATTTTCACTAATGGCTGCCAGTCACCTGACACTTTTCACAGGTGTTTATATATTTTTTAACATTCACTCATTTTGTTTTATATATCTTGTTTTTTGGATATACATTTATTTTTTACTTTTTATTCGTATTGTGTTTTTTTGATATTCATTTTAGGTTATTATATCCATTCACTTTTTTAAATTTTTAAGGCGTTTTTAGATATTAAGTTTTTTGACATTTTCCTTTTTTTTTTTCTTCTATTTATGTTTGGTATTTAAATTTGTATGAATTTTTTTCATTTCCTTTAGACAGTTTTGTATTTATTCATATTTTTTATTAAGTAGAACCATTTTAGAATAACGAATGTCACTTCGTTTTATATTTTTTTTTGTTTTTTTTTTTTTGTATAAACGATTATTTTTTATTTGATAATTTACTTTATATTCATGGTTTTTACAGTATTTATGTCTTCTTGCCTAGTTACACTGAGGTTTGCCACTTTATTATTTTTTGTTTTATGAAGTGATTTAGATGAAATTTGGGACATACTTTTGAATTAAAATTTATACTCAAACAGAATGGCCGACTTGCAGTTTTATTGGAAATGCCATTAAGTTTAATTTTTTAAATAGATCATTCTGTATTTTTTTGGAATCTACGGTTCAAATTATATATGACAGTTTTGCCAAATGTTTTACATTTTTTTTGAGATAGAATTCTATGTACTGGAAAATAATGTTCTTAGTGGTACATAGTGAAATTTTGGTAAAAAACACGTTTTAGAAATGTATTTTTTATCAGAAGGATTTATTTTTAACTCAATTGGTAAAATAGCTTTTGTTTCGAAAAATTATTGCTGGCCTTCTACAACAAAAAATTTTTTTGGGAAAAATAAAAATTTGGTCATATGCAATTTGAACCGTAGATTCCAAGAAACATAAAATATACAGGGTTTTCCATTTAAACAATTACTCTTAATGGCTTTTCTGCTGAAACCGAAAGTCTCACCATTTTGTTTAAGTGCCAATTCAAAATCGCTTGGTAACTAAAAAAGATATTAACGTGGACCTGGTTTCATTGCAACCCGGTATTCATGTTTTTGTCATTTAGTTGTTTTTTGACATTCAATTTAGGATGTTTTACATCCATTAGACTTTTTTTACATTTTTTATTTATTTTTCTTTTATTCATGTTTGTTTGATTTTATTTATATTTGTTTGACATTTATTCATGCCTTCTTGGCAGTTTTGCATTTATTCAGTTTTTTTTTTTAGATTTATTTGGTTTTCTTACATTTATACTTGTTTCTTGTACATTTTTTTATATATTTTTTGTCCTTGTTTATGTTTTATACACTCGCTCAAATTTTATTTATGTACTGTGTCATCTGAAATTGTTATTTCATCAAAAATATTATTCTACAGTCATCTCAAATGAACCAGCGCGGTTACTGCAATCGCACATCAGTCGTAAGCTTCAGATTATCATGTGGCAGCAGACCGGTGACTTACCCGCCCTCCCACTACCCCTCCGCAGCACCCTTTGCGGCCCTAACTAAACATTTTCAAAAACTGATCAAACAAAAAGTCATAACTCGGAAATTACTTAAACAGTTACTCTACGCGGAATATTTGAACAAAATGAACTTGAGTTTGGTGAAAATCAGGCATCACAAAACCGAAATCAGTATTTATACCAAAGATATACATTGTAGGGACAGCGTTATACATTGCGATACGGATAGCGATACGGATAGCGATAGTTCCGATGATAGTGAGAAAAAACCGGGAACTTCGAGCGGTTCTAGTGGTTCGAGTAATCCTTTCGGTTATATAAGGTATTACAATCCGCAAACTGGTTCTGAACGGGAAGAGTCTAAAAGCGGAAGCTTTGTGGATCATGGTGAAGCGAAGAAAGTACCTAGTTTACTAGTATCTAAAGCCAGTATTCACTTACAGAAACAATATTCTGAAGAATCGCAAGATAGCACTGATATAAGACAACCCACACCTTATATGGCTTGCGAAAACTTATGTAACCTCAACGACAGCTTGGAGTTGACCACCATCCCTTTACCTGACAGTTATATTCCCACTACTAGGCAAAGCTGCCCGACGAAGCTAGTAGGCAACAAGTTTAATCAAAGCAGCTTGACCACTATTTACATCCCTACGTGGTCCAATAGCGACAATAATATAACTTGCGCTACTAAATTATCGCCTACCATGTCCACTAGTAGTACTACTACTCATTCCAGCAGCTTAGAACTGCCCGTCAACACGCTACCGCTACCTGACAACGTACTGGCCGAAATACTTTATAATTTCGATACTGAATCGATTATGATCGATGACGTTGAAGAAGAAGTTGATGATAATGACAGTTTGATACTAAGACCGCCCAGTATGTTCGATAAAGACGATGTTAGAGTAGTACCGCAGAGTGTTAGTTTAAATTTAGAAAACGTAGGGTTTAGGAAACACAGTATTAACTCCGACAAACCTCGTCGGAGGTCTAGTTTACAGATAACGCCTAAAGATTCGAAGGATTATCCGAGTACTTCACATCAGTCGTTCTGCCGGTGCTGTATGGAGTACTGCCACAGTCCTAGGTCGTCGGATTCCGGAATAATGGCAGGAAGTTGTACTTTAAACTCTCCTGATTCCGCTAACGCTGCTGATAGTACGGCGCAAGTGCGGTGCAGCATAGATATGGCTAACTTCTTCGATAAGTACAGCGATAAACAAGATGCTATATCTCTTAGCGAGCTCGTCGCTAGAGACTTTGAATCGGAGTGTCAGTGTACGTCGCCTTTTGGTTCGACCCCGCGCACTTCAGGACAAGATTGCATCAACGAGAACGTGATGACGGGATCGCGCGATAGTTTGCAACGGGTGCATTCCAAGTTGTATGTAGTGCCGAGTAGATCAAGTCTAGGGCCGCAAAAATCTCAATCTACCGGGTGTCTGCTGGACGATACAGCTGACGTGGTACAACAGAAAGATGAGGAGGATAATATTCCGATGTACAAGTCCGGTCTGTACGCCCATTGGTGGTTAAAGGCTAAGATACCTTCCAGCGTGGTTAAGGGGATATACATCGATACTAGGCCGGCGAATACAGGCAAGGGCATGCGTGGTGGTGTGTTGTCGATGTCATATTTAAATCGTTTGTTATTTTTTTATTGAGCTAATATTCTAACAAAATGCTTGTGTGTTTTTTCCAGCCCTTGCCTGTACCCTATTCATTTTAATTACACTCATTTTAACGTACTTTGTTGTCTATCACGTTCATTTGATGTTCCTGCGATGGCCGACTTAACACTTTCCCGCTATTAGTGTGAAAAACGCAAACAACGGTAGTCTCCAGTTTTTTGTTTTTTTTTTTTTTCAGTGAGATTATTTCGATGAGATTAATTCTTAGAATTGCTACGAAATACAGGACATTTCTAGCAAACTGGCCACATTTGCACAGCTTAAATACCAGTGTATATTATATTAAATCACTGGTATCTTTAACCTAAGGATTACTAGTCACAATTAAATCAGTAGTTCAAATTACCGGACGTGAAGAATGATTTAAAAATGCTTCATAATCAAATTCAAAGTAATACAAAATAGAGCAAATAATATAAGATTAGTCGAAGTTTAAAAATACACAGTAAAACATTAACATGAAAGCCTGCTATAAATGAGTTTTGAATAATGAAAAAGAAATGTTAACAAGATTAAAAGTAATTTTAAAAAACCGACTTCAAAATCGTATATATATGTAATACATAAATAATTGGTCGAAACTGGAATGTAGTATGAGGAAATATGAAGTTTAGATTGTTTAAATTTAGGGTATATGTGGTGTAAACTGAAGAAAAATATCTTGCAAACGGAGTAGCTACCGCAACATACAAAAGAGTTATCCAAATTAATTGTATCTAGTATAATGTTGCTTTTGTTCTTTTACTCCTTACAATATTACAAAAGGCTTTAATATTAGTTTTAACAGAGGATTCAACAAAATATATACAGGGTGTACCAATAAAAACTCCCAGGCCGGATATTTTGGTAAGTAATAGAGATATTTTAATTCTGAAAAAGTCAGTTCACAGAGCACAAAGAGAGCTTTAGTTTTAGATATACATTAATTTTTAATAGGTCAATATATAGATGGCGCTGCGCTCAATATTTCTTTTCCGATGGGAGGATCTTTCTTATGTATCGCATCTTGTAAAAAATGCATTTTTTAAGCAGATTTTGTTCTATGAACTAATTCAATAAATCTAGCCATTTTTGATATACAGAGTGGGTCACTCAAAACAGTTTCATCCTTGTTTTCAGCATTAGTCATTGGATTGATAATGCTAAAACAGGTCGGTTTTTATTCTAATTTAAAACCATTTTTGCAATACAGACATCTGTCATGTGTCTACCCCCTCCCTTGCACTTCACCAACAACTTAATTTTAAATAGGTAATGTACCATGTATGGCACATCATTGAAAAGGTAATTTAATGGGGAATTCAGAAATATTTCTGTACACTGCGTTACTTTAATTTTATCGCCCTCTAGCGAAAAAAAAAAAACTATTACGTATTATAGAGTGACACTACAATGTGTAGTACATCATTAAAAAGGTATTTTTATGTGGAATTTATAAATATGATTGTTCATTGCGATACTTTTAATTGTACCGCCCTCTATCGGGATAAAAAAACTACGTATTATAAAGTGTGACACCTTATTAGAAAGCAAATTTAATTACTAATTTAATGCACTACATAACATTAATATAAATATCCTCCATATTGCACTTGCCATAGTTTGAACATTAGTCATGCATTATTTTAAACATTTGTAACAACCTGCATGCCTAAAGACCATTTGCAACTACTTATAGGTCTTTAGCTGCAACATAGTGGCAAAATAAAATAATAAAAATACAAAAAAAAACATCCCTTAATAGCATATGTCGAGCGGTTTTGGCAACTGACTTAAGACTCTCAAGTCCTTAAGGGTAGGAACGCCGAGGCTTAACATGCTCGGAATATTTCTTACTGGTTTTTGGAAAGAGGTGAGAATAAAATAGGTTAATTAACAATAACATGTATATTTAAATATAAGTAAAAAATGATTAACAATTTCAATAAATCAAAACAATCTTTATTTTTGAAATAAGACGAGCAAAAATTACTACCCACAATTGTAAATCTTTATTATAATAAACCATTTTAATATACTATAATCTATGATAAAACCCTTAAATCTGATAAATATTTAATAAATAAACTTGGGACGAAAATGAAAGAATTGGCATTTGAAGAAGACAAATGAACTGTTTTAAAATACATAACCCAAACAAGAGATTTAAACATGTTAAAATAAAATAGATATTACCTTTGAAAACAAAAACGCTACACACACACTTTACTATATACAATAAATATTAATAATTACTAAGTTACATTTTTTGGCATAGGTTTGGCCCAACGGCCGCCCCTTGAGTCGTTTTGTGACAACGATTGACTCTCTATTTATATCAACCTTAACGTGATTATTTTAAAAGAAACTCTACTTATTTATTTTTAATGATTATTCGCGCGATTTGTCCTTTAATTTACTAGTACAATGAACTATTTCTAATTGTTTGGCTTTAATAAATATGTTGTGTTACTTTAATAGATATTAAAAATATTAGATATTTTTGGGATTTTTGTTAAATTCTTTATATTTTAAAAATAATAATAATGCCAATTATTACACATTATTATTGCTAACTTTATTTTGTTGCAAGTGCAATATGGAAATATTTATATTAATGATATATTGTACATTGAATTAGTAATTAAATTAGCTTTCAAATAAAGTGTCACACTTTATAATACGTTACAGGTTTTTTTTCCGATAGAGGGCGCTACAATTAAAAGTATCGCAATAAAAAAACATAATTATGACTTCCCCACAAAATTACCTTTTCAATGATGTACCGTACATGGTACATTTCTCATTTAAAATTAAGGGGTTGGAGAAGTGGAAGAAAGGGGGTTGACACATGACAAATGTCTGCATTATGAAAATAAAAATCGACCTGTTTTAGCATTTTCTTAAAATCCAATGATTAATGCCGAAAAACAGAATTAAACTGTTTTGAGTGACCCACTCTGTATATCAAAAATGGCTAGATTTATCGAATTAGTTTATAGAACAAAATGTGCTTAAAAATGCATTTCTTACAAGATGCGATATATAAGAAAGGTCCTCCCATCGTACAAAAAATATTGAACGCAGCGCCATCTACGTATTGACCTATTTAAAATTAATTTATATCTAAAATTGAAGCTCTTTTAGCGTTCTATAAACTGACTTTTACAGAATTAAAATATCTCTATTACTACTCAAAATATCTGGCCTGGGAGCTTTTATTGGTACACCCTGTATAATTCGAATAGTATTCTCTAGATAGAAGTTACGTTGTGATCTTAGCTGACTAATGGTCGTAGTAAAATACCATTACTACTACATCATAGTTTAATTTATGTAATAAGACGAATTTGTTATGTAGATGACCCCACTAATATCGGCAAGCGGGACCAATCTACCGAATAACCATCACCATCGCCAAGGCAGCATCCATTCCAGCACGCCGGCGCTTTCGTCTTCGATTCCCGCATCGACTCGTGGTTGGTCAGCCGTCTGCGTCCGTCCTACCCCGCCACTACGCCCCTCGCTGGCGCTCGGTACTTCCCCCAATGGGCCGTACGCCAGGTACAACAGCAGAAGGCCGATGAGCTACAAGGAGGACGGGTTTATTTTGGACGTCATTGAGGCGTATTGCTCCGCTATGAAGCCCAGAAGCACTGTTAATTCAGGTAAGTGCAGAGGTTTTTAACATAGTACAGGTTGAGGTATTTTAAACTGCACTTCTGTAGTGGATCTAGTGGGTCAGTTAAAGGTGGTAATCGACTCACGTTTCATCAACGATTTAAAAGCTCAGGCATTATTTTTTTATGAATAAGTTAACTATTTCAATCGTAATAATGTTTATATAAAATGTAACACTCTATCGTGTAATGTCGATCACCACTTGTGTTTTTTTTATGAAACATTTTCAGTCGAGTTTTAGAAGAATGGTTCCTACTTCAAACCTGTCAGACCTTCTTATGAAGGACGCCATGGCTTTCATAATTGTTAAAAAAAGATCATAATAAAGTTTAGTCTTTCGTCCGACTATTCAATTTAAAAACACATTCATAATCATAGTTATTTTGCACTATCTACATTATTATTTCACATCTACAGATACAGTATACGTTGAAGAGATCTTCTTGAGCTTCCAAAGGGCCATGGCTGATATTCACGCCTTACTGCTATTTTCATGAAGGTTTGTCCTTTTTGATCTTGGAATTTATTCCTTACTTTTAGTTTTATGAGACTATTATGAATCCTGTGCCGTGAGGCAGTAAGTGATATGATTGTAGTTTTTGTCTATTTTTAATTTTGTCTATATTTCCTAAAAACAAGGTTTTCATTTAAGTGTGTGATTGTTCGTTATTGTCTATACCTTAGGTGTGTACTCTACTCGTAGACTGCACTGATTAGCCGGCTATCCAATCAAAAATCTGCTAATGGTAGTTCACCGAACTGACGCCCACCCGTTCTCCATTCATTGCATAATGCAGTTTAATCTTCCGTCCTACTATACAACGTTAACCATTCTTCTAAAACCGACAAAGATAATTTTTTCTACCGTTCTTAGCCTAACAGTGTGCTCTGTTTCATCCTATGTGCTGATCATTCGCTGATACGCATCTTGCAGTGGAACTCTTGACAGGCGGTAAAGTACAAATGCATGATAAACTAGCACGATCGCATCGATCTAGCTTGGATCTGAACCGTACCTCATTTTCTTCTACTGTGACCGGTCAAAATCAACCGCTGGTACACCCGCACGCCTACAGACCCCACCAGAGGGCGTCGACGTGGTGTTGCGCTTCGTTCGTCGTGCGCCAATTGAAAAAAACGCAACATTTGGAGTAGTGCATGAGTTTGGGAGCGTGGGTTGAATTGCTATCATGGAGATTGAAGGGGAAGGGAGTTTGATTTTTTTTTATACTTTTGTTATTAAGTTTACAAAACGATACTGTTGAAATTTTGCTGAAACCTTCCTAGTTTCTCCCTAGTCATAATGTACCCTGTACTAAGGTTTCTATTTTAGTTTCCATATTTCTATAGTCTTTGTATAAATATTATAATCTGGTATTGGTCAAGTAAACTCGTAGAAATACGTTACAATTTTAAAGCAAAATTACAAGTCAGTTTGAAGCCTGTCATTTTAAGAAATGAGTGCCGAAAATAAGTTAGTGTTCGCTGAATATACGAATATCAATCCTGTGATAGTAAAAAAATATTGGTGCTACAATTAACAGTATTTTGTATGCGTAATAAAATGTTTCATCTTTGAGGGTTCAAATTGGCCTAAAAATATTTCTATTTACAAATATCAACATTTTTCCACTTGAAGAAGAAACATTTGGTATATATCGCGTTATTTTTAATAATTACTCTTTAAAAGAAAAAATTTATCGAATTTGCATTTAGTTAGTGGGTTTAGAAAATAAAAAAATGCAAATTTGCATAAATTCGTATTGTTTGTGTGTGCGTGTGTTTTTTTTTAGTAGATCTCAATTAATATTTTTTATATGTTAAACAACGAAGATGAATAAAATCTTATTTTTAATGTGCTTTTGTATTATTTTTGTACAGCCTATGTTTGATGTACAGGGTAATTATTTAGTGTGAAAAATGACGATAAATGACAAACAATGAAAGGGACTTTCGTTGAAATGTCTTAAAATTATTTTCGAATAAACAGGATGTTCCATAAATTCAAGCTAGATTAAAATTATGTTTCCTTTTCTCATTTTAACAAGTAATGTGTGGTTTCATAGGGTATTCATATATCTCTAAGAGCGTCTGAGATATTGAATTTTTTCACACTATTCAATCACCCTATATACGGGAATTTAGCTTTCAAGCTAATTTCGGTTATTTCTACTTTTTCTTTCTATTTTGATAACGCGAGTGCTGCCACTCCAATGCCAAGACATGTCTCAATTTCTTGGAATGTTATACAACAAACAAAATTATAATTTTTTAATAGCTTTTATAATCCCTCGACTGACTCCAAAAAGTGGCACGTATCTTTGTAGTAGAGTGCATGGGAGGGGTGAGCAAGTTGTGTGTGGTTGGAACGGTTGTATGACCTGTTAAATTTAAAGTAAAGTTTCTCAGCAATGGATTTTTGCTTTTTGTACGCAATAAAATATACGTTGGGAACATTTTCCGAAATTACAAAATTCTTTTTATCATATCAACCTTTCGCCGATACACAAAATGCCTGAAATATCATCTTAGGTTCATAAAAACTGTGTTTAAGCTAAATGTACTGAAACAACGAACCTAAGACAAAAAGTGGCTGCAAAAGATTTTTTATGAAAGCATATTATATTTCATTGCGGACAAAAAACCAAATATCTATCGATGTGCTACTTGGAATTTTTCAGGTTACATAAGCGCTCCTACCGCCCGGACACAGTACAAATTATTCATACCTTTGGCATTTAGCTGAGAGACATATTATATTATCGTTTATGGACTAACTTTCCGTGTACAATGCTCAACGTTTAGGGTTGGTCTTTTCACCTTCTGATAAAGTTTCAGATAACTAATTAATGGATATATTATACGAGAGTTATTATCTGACACATAACGAAGTTTCCGTCTTTTCAAGAGAATTTATCTGTAGGGTAGTTATTCAGTATTCTTAACGTTCTGTGGTTATGTAGCTACCTTTATATCAATGTATTTATGCTTGCGATATTTCACTGTTACTTGTTGTTATTTCGTTTCGTCACTTATTTTAAAGAAGCTTTGTATTTTTCTGAAATCGTCATTTAAAATACCTATAGTTTCTTGTAAAGTGACAAAAAGGAAATATCGACTAATTTCGTTAACCAAGAAGTGAGATTATTATTAAAGTTATACTTAGAAACACAAAGCATCTGAATAGCATGTTTAATGTCGTGAAATTCTTTTTGATAGTCTAAAATACAATGATTCTGCGTGCTAATAATTACAGTGATCAATTCGTTGTTGAACTGTGGGATATTGATACGAAAACCTTCTTTTAGGTCATATAATTTCTAAATCCTAGGTCGTTTCATTTATTATCTAAAATATTACAATAAATTAAATTTTAAAATGGTCACAAATAAATAATGAAAATTATTTTTGTCTTCTTTCTCATGTGCTCCGACTTCCCTGTAGACTGAAAGCCAGCAGTCATTTAGACTAACGTGTTGAGCACAAGGATGGCAATTTGAAGATTTGTAATTTAATACCAGTTGAATAAGGAAATAATGATCTGGCAGAGATCATTGAGATAGAATTAAGAGATGCTGAGACGATGCTAAAGTGTCCGCACCTTTGCATTACATTTTTACGTCAATATCAAACTCAAGACAGTGGAGCTGGTAAGAATAAATGCAATTTTTTTATATAGCCACATTTAAATGATATAAAATCATTTTCATTCCGTCACTCTTCAAATATAAAATTATTGACATTTTCATTACATTTTTCCGTCACTTGAAGTGCGTCCATCTGTCATATCGCAAAATAGTGTTTATGTCGTCTCTACTTTATTCTATCTCGATGGGCAGAGATACTGTGGTTGCGACATCTACATTTAAATTTTTGAAAGTGTAAAAAAAATAGTTATAATTAACCTGTTCTTACAAGGTTAAAACTTTCAGAAAATATTCTTTGAAATATTTTATCAACATAATTACAACTGCTAGACCATTCTGACGGTTGCTAGTGCCCGCCAGGCGAGTTTACACTTAAAAGTTCCACCCTTCTCATCTTCGTTATTAATTGAGATATCGAAAAGATTTTTACTTTGAAAATTTGGAGTAAAAATTTTATTATTTATAACTGATTCAATTATTCTGAGACATCATGAGGTACTTCCAGTTTTTTCGGAAATGACAGTAAATCGCATTTTATCCAATTTTTTATTGAAAATTCTAATTTATTGAACATGTTTGAATAATAATATCTTATTAAAAGTGTTCTGTCAGTTGTCAAAAACTCTTTGTAAACCTTAGTGTTAAAATTGAGACTAACCCAAATCACACCAGTGGCGTAACTTAACATTTTTGTTATTGGTAAACTTCTTTAAAATTCCTTAGTGATTATTTGAGTTATCGAACTTTCTTATAACGGATTCAATTAATTTGTGACGTCTTAGCTTACTTTCGGTTTTTATAGAAATAGTAAATTGTAAATTATTTTTTATTTTCAAACGAAAATACCAATTTTTTTGAAAATGATATTAACATTTCCGAATCAGAATATTTAAATAAAAATGTGCTGTCAATGTGTTACTAATAACTCGTTTAAGCAATAACCTTTAGAAACTCCTTGTAAGCCTTATTGTTCCCATTGAGACTAACTCAAATTACACCATTGGCGTATCTGAACTTTTTTATTATTGGTAAACATTTTAAAAATTCCACTCTTTTCTAAGTTATTATTTGAGATATTGAAATTATTTTTGTTGAGCTTAGATCACAAAATGTTTTATAATGGATTCAATAATTCTGTGACGTCATAAATTACTTCCCGTTTTTCCGGAAATAACAGTAAATCGCTGTTTAATTTTATTTTTATGGTTTTACCAGTAGTGTCTGCAGGAATAACGGATGAAGTTTAATTATTTTTATTATTTAAACATTCTGTGGCAAATGGACACCGTCCGAAGCCATATCTCTCATACAACACAAGTTTAATTAAAAAAAAAGTCGTTTAGTACTTATGTTGACCACATACCTTAATTACCACTTAATAATGGTACAATAATTATAAGATTGTTTTCTGTCATAAGTAACTTTTCTTAAGTAGTTTGAAGTAACAACTTTACCGTTATCTGGGATGTACTTGCAACCTACAAAATAGCCTGGATTTTTTTAATTTAAACATTTCATATTAATTAATAGGTATTTTTCATTACACCCAGTTGTCTTTTCTCCAAATGTCCATTTACCCTCTCATGTATATATACGTAGCAGCTTGTACAAACGGACACTGTCTAGGGTAGCCGTTTTGTTTAGTCCTAACTTCTTACATGTGAAAATAAAGAATGGTCTGGCAGTTGTATTTATGTTGATAAAATAATTCAAAGAAAATTTCATGAATGTTTTAGTCTTGAAAAAACATGTTAATATTAACTATTTTTTTTGACACTTTTAAAAATTTAAATGTAGATCTCGCACCAGCGGTATCCCTGCCAGATCATTATTTCCTTTTTCAACAGGTATTAAATTATGAATCTACAAATTTTCAGCTTTGTGCTCAACACGCTACTCAAAATGACCGCTAGCTTTAACTTACACTGCTTCTCCATCTCTGCTTCTGGGAAGCTATTCTTGAATTCGAAGGAATATAAAACAGGTGTTTCCTCTTTATTTGAAACGTACAAAATTTGTAATTGTCTAATTCTTCTATTAAAATTTTTACTCCCTGAGATTCAAAAATAGATACCCTGGTTGTAGATTAGATTAGGAGTTGGACGTTATTTATCCTTGTCCACCGCGATCTTTTCAGATCTATTGTGGGACTCCGTTTGTTTTAGAGTATGTCGTCTAGCCTGGTCTTTTTTATTAGACTTAGTAGCTTTGACAGTGGCTCCCGCATGTAGTTGCATGCAATTGGCTTTTCTTTGCCCAATGTTAGAAACCTCATTCCAGCCAGGCCTTCACATTGGCACAGGACGTGGAATGATGTTTCCTCTTCTTCTTCACAGAACCTGTACAAAGTTGCTTCTTCTGCTGGATTTATGACACTCATGTGCCTTTTGAGGCGACAGTGTCCAGTAAGAAGACGTACTTGTTATCCTAACGTTTTGACGCTTTTGATCCAGTAGGTCTTTCGTGAACTTTGCCGCTTTTGATCCAGTAGGTCTTTCGTGAACTTTGCCGATGGTTCCTTGATGAACTGTTTGGCCTGTCTCAGTCTTGGATAGTTGTTCCACCATTCCTGAGACTCTTTTTGCATCCATTGTTTAATGGATGCATTGTACAATTCCTTAGCAACTCCACAGAAGGGTTCGGGGCCTGTCATGGCCTTATCTGAGCCTTCTCGGGCTAATTCGTCGGCCTTTTCGTTGCCCTGATATCCCTCATAGCCTGGAACCCAGGCTAAGGTCACCTTATTTTGACTACTTAGCTCTGTCAGGTCTTCTAGACAGTCTTTCACCAGTCGTGATTTGATTTCTGGTGAGAGAATTGCCTTTAGAGCTGCTTGACTATCAGAGTATATGGCAATAGTTTTGCCTGATACTTGCTGATTTAATATTTCTCTTGCACAGTGTTGTATGCCTATTAGCTCAGCCTGGAACACTGTTACATATTTTCCTAAACTCAGTGAAATCGTTGATTTCGACTTAGGACCATGGATTCCAGCACCGGCTCCTTCCTTGGTTTTTGAACCGTCTGTGTACCAGACGAGTTCAGCCTGTACCGGAGGTCCCTTTTTCCAGGATTCTCGGGCTGGTATTTGAATTTGAAAATTTCTTTCAAATTTGAATGTGGTTATAGCTCTATCAGTAGGCATAGCTAGAATATTATCCCTTTTTACTTGCTGATATAGCCTTGTGTGGTCGGCGCTATGTAGTTGGCTTATTGGGTTTTGTCCCTGCATTAGCCTGTGAATAGCTGACCTGGTTTCTCCTTGTATGAAGATGTGCAGTGGCGTGAGATTTAATAATACCTCCATTGCTGCGGTCGGCGTAGTGCGCATGGCCCCAGTAGCACTTAGAGAGGCAAGCCGCTGAATGCTAGTGAGTTGGCCAATTGCACTTGCCTGCGCAGTTTTGGTTACCCATGCCACTGCGCCAGAGGTTCTCATGGGTCTTATTACCCATAACCATATAATCATTTTGGGGTTTAGACCCCAGTTTTCCCCACATATTCTTCTACAGATTACGAGAGCTATTGTAGCTTTATGTGTGAGTTTTTTGAGATGTTGATTCCACGTCAGCCTTTGGTCAAATATGACTCCGAGGTATTTGGCTTCTGTGACGAATGGGATAACTGCGCTGTTTAGTACTAGTGGTCTTAGACCTGTAAGTACCCGTTTTTTTGTGAATGGTACAACTGTTGTTTTTTGTGCGTTGATGGACAATTGTTCCTTTTTGCACCAGTTGTTCACTATGTTTAGAGCTGTTTGAGATCGCTCCGAAAACCTGCAAATCGCCCCCTGACGATAATTGCTAGGTCGTCTGCGTATCCTAGGCACTGGTAGCCTTCTTTGGACAATATTTTGGGTAAGTCGTCTACAAGAACTGACCACGGCATTGGAGACCCTACCTACTTTGGCAAGGTAGACTACTTTCGCCTTTTGCCATATTGCTGGGATATATCTCCAGGCAATACATGCACTGAAGATTTTTACCCTGGTAGTAGGTGCTGCTGCTCCTCCTATGCCTTCTTATTACTATTACTACGTCTTTAATCTGTTTTATTTTTACCTTTTTTTAAATATTGTTTTTATTTCTACTCAATCTTCTAACAAAATCTCTTCCAACAATTACAATAATTCTCATACTCTCCCAAAACCCTCTTGACAATTTTTTCCCGCTGACAACGAACAAAATTTTTGTTCCTGACTACTTCAATTTTATACACCACCCCGATATTGCTGCTGATATAATTTTGACAACCAATTTTTTAGGTAATCATTTGTCCTCCAGAAAGAACCCCGCACAAATATTATGAAAATAGATATTTACATGTGGATTTTTCAATTTTGATTGTTGTTTGACAGCTAGTTGACTGCTGTCAACTGTCAATATTACTATATTGGCATTGGATTTGAATGCAGCGACCCCGAAAACATAAGAAGGTACTTCTTTTTTAACGCAGCAAATACTAAACTTTCGAGGAGATTGCCTTTTTAAGTAGTAAATAATGGTCAATCCGTGGAGCTTTGGAGCTCCGTAGGAGCCAAAATAAGCAAAATTAAGCTTTGTGCCCATTGAGACTTTTGCTCAGGATGCCGAAACGAACAACATATCCAAATTTCAGCCAATTTGACCGGGAGCCAATTTCCATAAGATTTGTGCGGGGTTCTTTCTATATCAGTATATTCCCTTTAAATATCGCATAAATGCCATTATAGAGTATAATATCAATATCTTCAACAACATACATGAAAGCAAATAAACTATATCTATCTAATACACAAAGAAATAATATATTGTCATCAGTTATATAAAATACGTTAACCAACGCATCAAGAAAAATAAAGATGAGACGCTTAATTATATTTGAACGTGAGAAGCATAACGAGTAACTTGTTTTAACTACGCCCTTTTTTTGACAATTTATTAATATATTTCTGTCTATTCAACTGTATTGTTTTCTATACCGTTCTCCTGGAGTCAATATTGCAAACAACATACTATATGCCATATACCTATTTATCCATCAGTTAAAAGTACTTTATTCGGAATTTATAGGTAAGATAGATTATCTTTCATATTTGACCAATTTATCTTCTGATTAGTTTTCACTTTTAAGTTATCTGTGGATTTAATTGCCCAACACTTTATCTGAAGGTGAAAAGATCGACCCTTAAACTTTATAAAATATTTAAAGACTGTGGTGGCGTTTTAAAGAAACGAGTCACTAAAAGCTTATCAAGAAAAAGTAGAAACCTCTTTTTCCTCACCTTGCCGGTTTTTATCACGTTATTGTTTTAGTGAACGTCAGCGAAGCCACCAAATACGAGCTGACCAAAGCCGTCCCAGAAGCCATCCAACAGCTGCAATCGAAGATCAGTATCCTAGAGTACAACGTTACCGCCCTGACATCACAGCTCGGCGACGAGAAAGAAGCTCGATCGATGCTACAAAACATCGTCAAGAACTTTCTAGTCGCCAATTCCAGCGATTTCGACAAGATACAATGGCCGGCGATAGAAAGCAATATTTGAGATTTTTGTTTGAGTTTTTGTTCCGAACGCGGCAAAATCTCACACCTTTAATGTACCTTTGAAGATATGTTGAGTATCAGTTTAAATTGTGATATTTTTTACAATAATTTATTTGCTTGTATGACTGAACCGAATTATCTGTGCCACTCTGTATATTTACAAGAATTGTGCAATGACGATAAATGACGGTAAATGACGATAAATGACGATTAATAACGATAAATAACGATACATGACGATAATTGACAATAAATGAACAAAAATTAAAGGCATTTACATTAAAACATCTTAAAATTATTTATATTAATTTATTTGCTTCTATGACTTTGAACTGAATTTTTTGACACCCTGTATAGTTACAAGAATAGTGCAATATAACAAATGATGATAAATAAATAAAAATGAAAGACATTCTCATTAAAATGTCTTAAAATTATTTATATTAATTTATTTGTATAGGTTACTTTGACGTCCCAATAGCATATTAAAATTTTAAGAAATTCTGTCGGTGAGGAAAAATTATTAAAGGTGTGAGATAGTGTCTTTTTAATATCGTGAGATAACGACTCTTTAATATCGTCATATCGTTTTTTTAAATATCGTGAAATATCGTCTTTTTAATATCCATTTTCAACTATATCCTCCAGATTCAATGTAACTGTCACGTTCTTTTCGATCCATCGAGCCAACGTTCCCCAGATTTATCACTGTTGGATTTATTTTCTTGGGACATTTGTAAAAACAATTTCCATTCTATTTTAGGTTTATTTATTATACCATTCCTGCTATGATAAGGGCAAGTTTTAAGAGCTGGAAGACCTTCAGCTGATTGGCAATCGTTCAATCCTCTTAATTAAGGATAATTTGCTCTTGTATTTCCTTTGACATTCAAATCTAATTCGTTTTAATTATGATTGATGTCTGGTTTTATCGATAGCTTATCTGAAATGTCGCCAAATAAAAAATTTGATGGGGTTAAATCTGGTGACCTGGTCGAATATTTGATTCACTGTTTAATTAATACGATATTTAAAAAAATGGTTGATTTGCCGTACCCTTTAAACGATTTTGTTGCTGAACGTCTGACAGTTTGGAATTCTCACAGGGGAGTACAACACCAGATTCCTCAATTCGATGAGATTTACCCATACCTTTATGAAACTGAGTTTTCATTGTAAATTTTACGGATCCTGTACTAAAAAAATAAAAAAAAATATTTTCTCGTTTGGAACAATGGCTCTTAAATTTGTGTTATTTTAATTCTATTTATTTTATCCCATAGTTGTATGTTTCTTTGAAATATTTATTTTTATAGGTATTTGTGTAGATGTCCGAGACATTTGATAGCGTATTGTCACTTGTTTTCGTGTATATTTGTAAATGCGACAGTTTTTTATAGTAAAAAGAAGACATATATTTTTAAATAAAAACGTACAAATTAATATATTTTTTTTTCCAAACAGACATTTTCTACTATTTTTAAAATAGGACGGGAGTGCAAAATAAATGACTATTTGTCTAAATCAGAAAAAAAAAGAAACGAAACCAGTTAAAACAAATAAAAATCCTAACACAATGTAGAAAAAAATCAACTTAACTTTTTTTGGTAAAAGTCAAATTTGGAAATATTTGTAAGATCTGGCAACACCTTGACAGTCTTAAGTGGTCGAGACTGGGTATGGCTCAGATCGTAAGATTAATTCGACAGTCAATACGCTTCAGTTGTGGGTCCGGAGTGAAGAGACGTGGGGTGACAGGTAAATAGAAGGATTTTACGGCGATACAAAACATCAATGAATATATGTGTAAGCGCTTGTAGGCTTATAATAAACAACGTAGACAATGTCTACCCATGCAAGCCCTGTTGCTACATCTAGTACCAAATACTTGATATCCAACTTAACAGTAACTAGGTTTTGTAATTTATGGAAAATTGTCTAATTTAGTGAAATTACATTTAATTTAGTTAAATTTGATTATTCAAAATTTTTTGGGTTCAGTTGCAATAAATTAGATTGTATTTTAGCTTTCTAAAGATATGTAAATAATTAAAAAAAAAAAAAACGAAAATAATGAAATAAGTATGATAACAGCGAATGTACCTCCTGTGTCCCTTAGAATATGTCTTATGTAGCACAAATAGAAATTGTTAAGGGAACATTTTTCAGAAAAAAAATCTGAGCACATTCTTTTTCATCACCAATAATGAACTATAAAGTTATAGTGAGAATATAATGATATACCTAAAACTCGTATAGGCACGTAATATGTGGCTCCATGATTAAACAGCGCAGGATCAAATGGCGCAGACAAAATAGCGCAGGACAAAATAGCGCAGAGCAAAATATCGTAGGATAAAATAGCGCAAGATACAAATGCACATGTCAAAATATTTCAGTATTCTAATTAAAATTAAAAAAAAAAACAACTAATTTACCTAACCTGGGCGGCCTGAAACCATCGCAGGTTGCTTTAAAACAATGATATAAAATTAGTTAAAACATTCGTAACTAATTTACCTAACCTGTGCGGCTTGGACCCATATACAGCAACCCGCCATGGCTCCAGGCTGCACAGGTTAGGTAAATTAGTTTAAGTTTTTATTTTAATTTTATTTAGAATACTATTACATTTTGTCATGCATTAATTTGTTTCACTCTTTTGAAAAAGCGCTAACTTGACTATATGGGCGTTATCTGCTCTTACTTTATTTATATTAGGAGCTAACTTGTTTCTTATGTATTTGTCTCGTTCAAAACTGTTTCGCGCTTAAATGGGTCGGATCCGAAAATGTGAGATCGATAGAGCTGCATTTCAAACACTCCACATAGGCGTCGTCGGAACAGTATTTGTTACGCATTATTTCAACGAATTTCTTCGTGACGGGCTTCTTTTGTCCTTGAGCTATTTGCCCTGCGCTATTTTGTTCTTACGCTTTTTGTTCTTCCGCTAATTTGTCCGGCGCTATTTTGCCTGCGCTCTTTTGTCCTGCGCCATTTTGTCCTACGCTGTTTTATCATAAAATGCATACATGTACAAGCTAATACAATCGTTATTTCTCAGAGTAATTGCGCGATTTATTTTGCACCCCTCTTATACCTGTCATGAAACAATATCAATTAGCAGGTTGAGCCCCAGTTGCATATTGAAAAACGAAGTTCACTTTTTGTTTTACTAAAAAATGTAAAGGAACGGTGAATTTACTAAATATTGGGGTATTTGCAAAAGTCAATTGTTCAATTTATTTTGATTTTTTTGTTAGCTTTTTTACTTTGTCCTATAATTTTGACTTTGATCTGACTTAACATTATTAACCCCAAATTTGCAATACTTGGTTTGTGACTTACCGAGTGTTCCGTCATCTTTTGGCGAAATGATGCAACTAGGGACTTAAATCTGTTTTCTACTAGATAGAATTTAGTACATTAAATCCACAAGTGGAGAAAACTCTGTTCTCTGAAAAATGCGACTTAACACACCTTACCTCTGAGGTGCTGATGTAAACAAAATTTATTTGGTTTTTATGCATCCATTTTATGTAAAACTAATGGTACGTTTACATCCAACATTTATTGCGTGAAATTTATGTCTGACAGTTGTTTAGTCCAGTGTAAACACACAAAAATTTCTCTCGGAAATACAAGCTTTTATCGCGGGCTTTGAGCGCGGCGACCGAATCAAAAAAAAAAAAACGAAACCGTAACGAAAAAAAAAAAAAAAACCTGGCACCCGACCGGCACAGCGGTGTGGCGTTAAAAAATATTAACTTCTCATTTATTCAATAAAAGAAGATCGAAAAACCGAAAAATCGAAAAAAAAAAAATCCGTAACGAAAAGCTATTACATAGCTTTTATCGCGGGCTTTGAGCGCGGCGACCGAATCAATAAAAAAAAAAACGAAACCGTAACGAAAAAATACCTAACACCCCCCACTCCGACCGGCACAGCGGTGCGGCGTTAAACAATATTAACTTCTCATTTATTCAATAAAAGAAAATCGAAAAATCGAAAAAAAAATTCCGTAACGAAAATAAACCTAACACCCCCCACTCCAACCGGCACAGCGGTGCGGCGTTGAAAGCCGTGCATCGTCTAACGTCGTTTCAGTTCGGCAGACTTCGGCACGGTGTTTGTGTGCGTGCGACTAGACGTATGCGTGAGACTAGCTGCTAACTGCTCATAACTCATAACTGATTCTCTTTTAGACACAATTTCGGAAAAATTGAATTTGAAAATGAATAATGATCCACAAGAATCCACAACAAAATATGGGACCACCATTGACGCGGTAATTTCCAGATATTTAGAGGATATCAAGTCTCAAACTTATGTTTCTTATTTCAGTTACCATAAACCAAGGGTTTCAATGATAAAACTTCCTGAATAACCTACATGTATTGTAAGATAATAAAAATATTTTAAACAATATTAACTTTTCATTTATTCAATAAAAGCAAAAAATTTGTTTTCTTATCGGTCACCACGCTCAAAAAGTGTAACTTGAGTTAATATCAAAGAAAAAACCTGAATTAATATTAAAGAAAAAAAATACTGCATAAATAAAATAAATAAATAATTATAATTGCATAAGTTGATAAAAAATGCTATGCAATAGCTTTACCGCGGCAGTCCCCGAGTGCCACACGTATTTTTTTTATTAGAGAGTCGGTTACCGAAAAAATCTTTTAATAAACTTGTAACAAAGGCGATTAATATACATATTAGATCGTTAAATTCTTTATATACCTCTACATTTGCATTTTAAAACTGATTTAAATTACCTGTGAGACTATTGATATAGAATAAAGAGTAAATGCTATGGCCATACTAAAAGTGCCCTCCCCCTTTGCATTACAGTTTTACCGCATATGTCAAACTCGAGCTAATTGAGCTAGTCAGTTTTGATAAGAATAAATGTAATTTCTTTAAAATAGCATCATTTAAATGATATTAAAACATTTTTATTCCGTTAATCTTCAAATATATCAAAGTACGACTCGTAAGTCACCATTTTGATTACACTTTTCCATCACTCGAAGTGAGGCCATCTGTTATATCGCAAAATAGTGTTCATGTCATCTCTATTCTTCATTATATCTCGATGTGTGAGATCAACACTGAAAGTAACATGTTTATGAAAATTAAAACTATGAATTAAGCCAAAAATAATTTCAATACTGGAAATAAATCCGGTCCTGTTTAATGACGCAGCGTTGAATGAAAACGACTCAATGCACATTCTCAGTATTGCCGCAACGAGCTGCTTGTTGGTGCTAAGAGTGAATTATGATATTATTGTCGATATACTGGATGTGTATGAATTAAATAATCAAGGGTAATATAACGAGACTTTGATAAATAGTCGACTATTTTTAGTGTATCTAAATTTTGAGTGTCTGATATCAATTTGTCGAGACAATTTTGTCGTTAATAATCTGAATAGAGTCCGAGGGCTTTTATCTCGAGGACTCTACTCTTTGATTATTAATGATAAAATTATGTCGAGACAAATTGCAAAATACACGAAAAATTTAGTAAGAATAAAAATGGGCGCTAATTTATTAAGGTCGAGTTAAGATTATTTCTGGAGCTCTAAATGTAACTTAAATTAATAAATACACAATAAAATAACTTTTATTTTCGGTACATTTTCATATTAGCTTGTACTCTGACAATAAATATATTTGACAGTAGCTGTGGATAGTCGATTTGAAATATTGAAAATAGTCGATTTATTTGATTCTGATTGGTTTTAACGATAACGTAAATTGCAATGTGATTTGTTAAAATGTCAAAGTTGACAGGCGAGGGAAATAATCATAGATATAAAAGCATTACAAAGTAATAAATTTAAAAAAATTCATAGTAGGTACCTCTGTACGATTTCTGTAACCTAGTAACCTGGCACGGCTTTGTTTATTTATTTAACTAAAAACAGTTTTAATAAATGCCCCTAGTAAAGAAGAATTTACGATTATTACAATCTGATCATTAAAATCAATTAGCAATTTTATTGCAAACTTATCTAGGGATGAAAAACTCAAACTGAGATTCTACTCACTAGTCTTAGAATCTAATTATTTAGTTACACTACCGTTAACGTATAACACTAAACCTCATTATACTCTGCTTTTATCTAACTCAAAAAGGCTTGGTTTTCTAGAGTCTTCTTATTAGATTGGCATTGTTAATGAGCTGGATAACCGCAACATTCCCATGTGGAGTAGTCGTTGTTGGTGATTACTGGCAATTTTTTTCATTGTAGAGACTATTGAAACAATAGTCTCTACTTTCAGGTCCCTATGAAGATCAGTATTGCAGCAGTACTAGGGTGCATCGACGATGTTCCTTAATACTTCGTTCTGGAATCGTTGAATAACTTGAATGTTACTTTTACTGCCCCAAAGATGATACCATACGTCTATAAGGGTTTCAATATATGCCTGTATAGTTTGTTGTATGTGGATAATTTGGAATGTTTTCTTAGCAACCAAGCAATACATTCTTTTGTATTTTATACCAAACTCTTAGAGTTTCTTTTTAATATGAACTTTCCAGCGAAGTCTAGCATCAAGTGCCATAACCAGATAATTTGCTGTATTGACAAAAGGAATCTGAGTGTCGTTTATTCTAATAGGATTTTATATTCATTTTGATTATTGCTGAACTTGATATGGATAGAGTTGCCTTCATTCAACTTTATTCGGAACATTCTCTCACTAAACCAAAACACTCGCAGATAGGCAGATACTAGGATTAGGTAGGTACTTTGTCATGCTCATTGTCAGCTTTATATTTTCGATTTATTTTAAATGTTTCATTATTTGAAAAACGGACAGATTACTTTAGAAAAAGCATTATATTTTTGTATTAAAACACCCTTTGATCTGTTTGTTGTTTTTTTATTTAGAAATCTGGCATAATATACAGACATTTCTCAAAAATACGTACCCTCTACAGTAAGTACAGATATCAAATATATACAAAACAAATCGACAACTAGTACTTTGGCAAAATTTAATTAGTCTTATTTATAAAAACAGATATAGTGTAGCAAAATAAAATTTTCTCTATATTATTTGTATAAAAATACAATAATAATTTTGAACGTGTATCAGTCATTTTAATTAATTCAAATGTTCAGATAAGCGTTAGTTACAAAGAGTATATAGGGTGTCCTATAAATTTAATAACAAACTTGTTGAGGTGGTATAGAAGACATCAAAATAAACATTTTTTGCTTAATAAACATATGTCTGAAAACGCTTTGTTTCCGAGATTCAGGTTGTGAACGTTTAAAAAAATGGATTTTCAATCAATATGTTAAAACTTTTTAACCTATTTTAATGAATTTTTTTTTATTGATATCCTAATGAGGTATATTTTGGACCTGTTAGCGTGTATATCCAAAATTTACATAGTTGTGCCCATGGGCATTTTTTTTGTTGAAAAAGAGTAACGCACAACTTATTTGTCTCTTGACTTTTGTTTTTTAGTTGCTTCAGAGGCGTGCAATAGTTTTGATTACTATTTTTTTTTTCGAAAACAAGCTGCGAAAATATTAAAGACAAAAAGGTAAATTTTATTTGCATTGTTTAATTCAGTTATGAAAATTACAAATAACCGTTTTCGGACAAATGTTTATTCGGCAAAACATGTTTATTTTGATGTCCCCTACAACACCTAAAAGTTTGTTGATATATTTACATTATATCCTCTGAAAATTATGAAAAAACATAATTTAATTAACAATTAAAAAATTAAAATTTTAGTTACAAAATCTTCATTTATTAATTACAATTATTTCTCTTCCATAAATCAACTTCTTGTCTTATCTTATTGACGTCATTAGCGTAGGTTCTACAGCATCCTCCTACCCAAGTCACCCCAAGATCTAACCATTTTTGGACGAAATTTGCAACTGGTTCGCATTTTTCTCTATTGACCCACCTGCAATATGTATAAAATAATTGAGCACAAAATAATGCAAATATCAAAAGTCCAAAGTTATGTTCTTAACAGTGACCAAAATATTGGAAGTTCACTATGACAGAAAGGTATATTATACCTTTCTAAAACACTGAAAGTTTTTTACCTACTTCTTTTTTGAGATCTATATTCTGTTATTTTGTATCCCAATATTTGGTCACGAGTCGCCACTGGTTCTTAATTGAATATAATTAGTCAAAGTATCACTAATATGTAACGACTATTGTTGTATAAACTGATCGAAAAAAGTTAAGGATATTGTGTATTCACTATGAAGGAAATTTTCTAGAAAAACATGTGATATAGCTATTAATACCTATGTCATTTGCGTTTAAAAAAATGTTGGTCGTAACATATAAAATTGTGCCCAAACAGATAAAAAGCATTATCACAAAAATGTAGATTTTATTTTTGTAAAGTTTAGTTTTGTTTGTGTGCTGCTAAGCGCAGTTTACGATATTGCGATTATTCTGCTATCGCCAAAATTAATAGACGTCATTTAACGGTGGAGGAAGCAAATCAAGCTATTGGGTTGCTTCTTGGAGGTGGGTGATAGATCGATGTGGCTGATCGGTATAATGTCTCTCAAAGTGTAATTTCTCGACTTAACCGATTTTATGAGACTGGATCTGTCATGGACAGGCATAGGGAGAGTAGACCAAGATCCATAAATGCTAGGGAAGACTAAAGATTAGTGAGAGGAGCCAGGATGGATCCTACAACAACCTGCACGTTGCTCAGCCAGCACCTTTTCGCTGCCAGCCGAATTCGTATTACCCCTCGGACAGTTTTAAACCGATTGAATGAAGCAGATTTACGTTGCTATAGTTCTATAAGACGCACTCAACTAACCGCAGTCCATAAAGCACAACATTTGCTTTGATGTAATGAAACGGCCAACTGGAATGATGAATGGCGCACTGTGATGTTCAGTGATAAAAGTCGCTTTTGTCTTCGTGCTGACAGACGTACAGTTCGTGTCTGGAGACCAATATGTTCAAGACGTGCATCCATTTAGAGGTCAAGGTGTAATGTTCTAGGGTCGAATTTTCTACGGAGATCGAACGGACTTGTATGTTCTTAAAGGTACCACGACAGGTGAAATTTATGCCCCCGACATAATTGATAACCTGGTGAATGATTATCGCTGGAATTTGGAGCCCAATTTCAGATTTCTGGATGATAAGCTCGCCCTCACAGAGCCAGGGTAATAGCATTCCATGAAATAAATCATTTGCCATTACCCCCGCTCTCTCCTGATTTAAACTGCATCGAATATAATTGGGACATGCTGGGAAGGGAAGTTATTGCCCATCAACCTCCTGTTCAGGATGTAAGGTCACTGAGGCAAGTTCTTCCACATCTGTGGGATACCTTGGATCAAAATGATTTGGATCATTTAATTTTGAGTATGCCTCACCGAGCTGAAGCAGTAATAGCCAATAGAGGTCGAATTACACGCTATTAATAATTTTTTTCTTTTTGATAATTATCTGTTTTGTTACACTATTAAAGAAAAGTTGCCTGTAAATTCTAATTAAAACATTTTTTCAGTTAAACAAATGTGTTTCATTTTTGAAAAAGATGGGAGCAAATGTACGTTAAACAACTTTTTTCGAAAACTAGTTTTTCTCAGTGAATTCACTATATCCTTAACTTATTTCGATCAGTTTATATCTGGAGTTCCTTAAGAGTCCCTTTAAGACTCCTATCTTTTTTAATATATAGGGTGTCCCAATAGTGTGCGGAAGTTCGATATATTCGATTATTATAGAAAATATCAAAAAAATGTTAATGCAAAAGTTTGTAGATAATAATCTGTACATTAAAAATTATTTTCGAATATACGGAAACAGAATTGATCGAAAATATGTTTTCTTTTAAATGGATTCTCCTGACTTTGCACTTCAAGAAAATACCAGCATGTTTAAACCAAATTTTATATGAAAATCGTACCAGGTTCAACCCTCTGTATATTTCAAACGAAAACAATTAAACATCAACATTTTTTGACGAATCATTTTTAATGGTAGTCTACTTTTATTAGAATATACAATTTTTTTCCTAAAGCAACAAACGTGTATTTGTGCCGGTTTAACTTAACTTCGGTCCCCGGGCGCTGAAGATTTAGGGGCTCCCTTCATTGCTATTCGTTGTTAGTTTTTTTAACAAAAACACATGTTCTAATTATTAATGAAATGTAAGTGGAATATAAGTACTTCAATGTGTAAAAAATTAATATTTTTTATTGATATTAGGCTGAGCGCTTTCGTCTTAACAAAGCCATCATCAAAGCCGTCCTAAATTTTTTATAAGTATTAGCAGATGACAAAACTTATGTCTAAGATGCCTTCCATATTGAATCGATCAGTCTATACATTGAATTGTTAACAACAGATACATTTAGGGACGGTGAAGGCACCGAAACTCCAATTAGCCTTATAAGTGGTATAACAGCATATTTGACTTCCATGATTGTAATGTATACTCAGTGACAATTAAAGACAGAATAAAATAGTACTTTTCTATTTTCCTTACATCAGTAATGTAACTACCCATCATTCTCCTAATTACTTATTAATACTCCTAATTAACAATTGACAACTCAACCACCTAGATTACGCCACCTGCAGTGCTGGCCTAATTCAGCTTCCTCGGTCGGACTAACTGGGGGTGTTGTTTATAGAGGGTCGTTTTTGTACTTTTTGGTAAATTTCTGTTACTAATGATTTGAGAAGAAAATTCTTTGAATAAAAGTTTTTTGTGATGTTATTTTATATGATTTTTGTTATTATACAGAATGTCCCTAAAATGGACCGACTTGAAGATTTTTATTTTTTATTTATTTATTACAATATCCAACAGGGTTGCCCCTAATTACAGGATAAGGAAAGGAATATTACAATAATTGGGAACTAACATAAATTATTATTCTTATCTATATACATATATAAACTTAAATCTAAATAAACACGAATTTAAACAGACACGGGTGCATCCTGAAAAAAACTTACACAAGAAAAAAAGGATGCATCCATTTCCGCCTTTAATAATTACTGCGCAAATTAATTTGACAGAAAGATACTTCTAATAGATGCAACAGAGCAATTAAGAATATCTTATCATCGTCAATGTTCGAATAGTTTAGGATAATTTGAAATAAAGGCGATGCTTTGTATATGTTAGTTCTATGCGCTTGTTGATAAAATAGTTGATTTCGTCAGGAATTAACTCTAGGGACGTGAAAGTTTAACATTTCCAAACATGAAATACAATCCACCTTGTTATTTAATAACTTGAACAGAAATATCACTGAGTGCATAGCTCTTCTTTTTAAAAGACTACATGTATTGAAACGGTTTAAATAATAACTTCGAGAAAGTTCTCTTATGGGATAGGCACCATCACTTAAAAGACAAGCTGATTTAAAAAATCTTCGTTGAACTCTTTCCAAATGGTTAATGTGATTGGAGTATCCAGTATCCAAACGATACTAGCATATTCTAATTTTGACAAAACCAGCGAAGAGAAAAGTATTTTCATCGTTGAAAAGTCATTGAATAATCTCATATTCCTTATAACAAAACCTACAATTCGATAAGCAGAAGCAGTTGTTTTTTCAATGGTCGATTTAATGTAGAATTTTGTAGGTTATAATTATATAGTATTGATGCTTCCTTTCTAGTAAATGTCATTACATTACATTTTTTAACATTTAACGGTAACTTATTTCTTTTGCACCATTCGTTTAAGCGGTTAAGATTCTCTTGAAGCAATAGACAATCATTATAACTAGAGATTTCATAAAAAAAAATTAGGTCATCGGCGAACAATAGATTAATAAATATCATTAATAAAAAGCAGAAATAATAAAGGCCCTAAAATCGAGCCATGCGGGACCCCGGATGTTTGAAATTCATTGAGTTATGCCCTAAGCACTGAGCATAAAGGTAACGATCTGACAGATACGACTGTAAAACATTTAATAAGGAGCCATGAAATCCAAGTGCTGAAAGTTTACTTATTAGAAGTTTGTGATCAATTCTATCGAATGCTTTAGAGAAGTCTGTGTAAATAACATCAACCTGACTTCTTTTATCCAAAACTTCAGAAATACAATGAGTTATATAGATTAGATTAGATTAGTTACAGTAGAGCGACCAGCAATAAAACCATGTTGGGTTGGACTAATGATTTGGCGAAACTGAAATGAAAGATAAAGATTGGACTAACTAGCTAACTTCCACATCTCAGAGAATTGTTGAGTTTTAAAAATAAGGTTGAAAATAATACTAAGAGGTTTGCAAAATACCTGTGAAAGATATTAGATGAAATTCATTTTGTTTTTGTTTTGACCAGGATCTAAATTTAGTGGAAATTCATGTGTCGCGACACATCAGATATACCTTAATGAGAAAACAAAAAAATTAATTTTAAACTAAATTTAAGATTTTAATTGGTGGGGAGATTGCTGCCACTTTATGATGCGGCTGTTTTTTAGATTGTTTCTTCATTTCTTTCTTATCCAAAATTATTACAATCATTACTTATGTTCCTTTTTTAAATTTATGTATTGTGCAAATCGCGATGGTGACGTGACGTTCACGTTCCGTATAGTATGAATAAACAGCAAAAATTAATGTGACGTTACCATGCTGTTACGTGACGTTGACGTTCCCTTTATTGCCAATTGACCTATAGAAGTTTTGTTAGCGTTTCCATTGCATTTTATTTAAAAGATTGTGAAGGCATTAAAAAAATCAATTCAGTTGATAAAACATTGTAGCTATGTACCTTAAAAATATAAATTAATTAACTAGTATATTTCAACAGGAGTTTAAACATTGTGAATTTAGTCATAATTAACCTTTTTTAACATTTCATTCTAAAAACCTCCTAAACTGCTGTGTTCAACTCAAAAGATCACAATCAGAGTACTTTTTAGTTGTGATATGAAATACAGGGTGTTTCCATTAATAGAATCATGTATTTGAGTTTTAACTTACCCTGTACACGTGTGTTGCGTTATAAAAAATTAGTATATTCTTATAAAAGTAAACTATCATTAAAAATAATTAATCAAAAAAGAATGTGATGTTCAGTTGTTTCTTTTAAAATATACAGAGGGTTGAATCTAGTACAATCCCATCTAGTATAACCCCATGCATGCTGACATTTTCTTGAAGGCCAAAGTCAGGAGAATTCAAATTTTGAATCAAATGCAGGGTGATCTATTTAAAATTATATATGTTCGATCAATTTTGAAGTTATGGATTACTCTGTATATTCGAATAATTCTTAACACAGATTAACATTATGTACAACTTTTATGAAAAAATTATCGAACTTCCATACACTATTATCATATTTTTTTATTAATTTTATCTTTATCTGATCAAATCCTCGATTGGATTTCGTAGGCAACATTTTCTTACGTACCAAAATTTACTGCGCCATTTTTTTTCACACTTACCCTAAGTCTACGTTGTAATTCTCTCCACTGTTGGGGTAAACTATCAGCGGCCGCGGATTGTCTTTTCTGTCGTCATTTATACCGGTTATTAAGGTTTCTATGAGACTGGGGGCGGTACAGTTACAACCTACAGCCACCACTTGCTCAGGATTTATGTCGTAGCAACGCCTCGCCGTTTTCTGGTAGTCTTCGCCGCAAGCTGTTGTTTTACCATCTTGCTACACAAATAAATATTTATATAATAAAATAAATAAAAACAAGAAATTCTCTGAATCATGTCTCACAATATTTTGTTCCAAAATTTTGTCAATTTTTTTTGTCACAATATTTTATTACAAAATTTTGTCACCATATTTTGTCACAATATGTTGTGACATATGGCTTTTTTTCTTTTATTTTACATTTTGGTCACATTTGAGTTTGTAGTTATTTTTCTTTTTTATTTATATAATAAGAAACTAAATGATACAGTTAACAGTATCTCAACTTACTCCAACACTTAGCGATACCCAAGCTTTGACACCTGGAAACTCTTCTTTTAATAAATTTACTAACATTTCCGCTTCTATTCCGCTGGGAATTGTTTCTATGGCTAATAGGTCAACGCCAGCTTCAACTAGCGCCCTTATTCTAGGAAGATGCCACTCTTTCATGATATCTGTTGAGACAGTCTTTACGTAGGATCCTGTGTACTCTGATCCGTCGTGGAGAGAAGCTCCATAGGGGCCCACTGAACCAGCTATTAACGGCTTTCCTGCAAATAACAATACAGTTATATTTTATTTATGGATATTAAACCCCCCAAGTGACAGCTGTCAACACCTAGTAACTATTAAAATTTATGTGTAAAGAAGTATTCTTACGGGCTTCTGGAAATTCTTCTAAGTACCTTTCCACGGCCGCCTTTGCCAGTTCTACAGCCGTTTTGATGAGTTTGTAGCCTTCTTCCGGGGTCATATTTAGATGGGCTGCAAACAGGTTTACGTCTGCTTGGTATGTGTTCGTGATTATTACGTCTGCACTGGCTGAAAATAAAAAAGTCAATAAACATAAACAAAGAAAGTGACAATAAATGAAAATAATTAACAATAAATCAACAAATACATTACAATTTTGAAAAAGTATGTTTAAACTCCTTTAAATACACTGCCGAGCATAAAATTAGGATCACCTTTGAAATGCTTTTAGTTCAAACAAAATAAATTTTAAGGCATTTCGTAGCAAGGCTGTTTTAAATCAGATTTTAGATTACAATTCGCGAAAGATTGTCCCATTCCTGCACCAGTATGTCGCGAAGCTCTCAAGAATTTCTGGGAGCCGGCATATGGCTCCGTAAACGTCTCCCCATCTCATCTCAAACATGTTGGATCGGATTTTAATCATTCGAGCAGGCCAAACAAATCGCGTGATTTAAACCTTGTCAAGATAAGCAGTAACAATCCGAGCAATGTGGGGCCGTGCTTTATCATGCATAAAGGTTGCGTCTTCTCCAAGAATAACCATGAACGATACAACATGGTCTTCTAGAACCTCTGTCAGGTATATATGCGCAGTCAATATTCCATTATGGATAAAGACTAACTCCGTGCGAGATTCAAAACATGCCATAACTGAGCTTTCACCAAATGGAAGTCGTTCGGCAATACACGCTTAAGCATATCTCTCGCCTTGTGTTCTTCTATTATTAATTAGTATTTTATTTAGGAAATACCTTTTGATCTTTGTTTGTTTTTGTTAAAATGTCTATGTTAATGTCATATTTTGTAATAATACTAGGCATATATGCAGTAGGTGAAGGCAGCTTAACAATAAAGCAGTATGTGCGCGTATATACGGCATTTTTACTTAGTAATGTCGATACCATGTTTGCCGTATATGCATTTATTAGGTGAAAGAATTGTTATATGTTAAAACAGACTATTGTAGAGGAATTCAGGATACTAAATTTGCCTATAAAACACGTATTTTATTACCTAATTGAGCACAAGTTTTTTTGGCAACCATTAAATTAAAAAAAGTCGATATTTCAAAATGGCGATTTTGAACTTCCGTTAAGCAGGGCAGAATTTTAATCCAAACTTTTTGAATACCCTATATTTCATAAAAGTTACGATTAATAATTATTCCTCGCGCTATTTGTCACAAAAATATTACTTTTTGTTGATCTGTGTAGTCATTTTTTTTTGAGATTTTTCAATTTGAATCATACTCAGACATGAAATTTATGTATGAATTTATGAAGGGCCGACTTTATAATTATTATTAAACGGTCTATTCACTAATGGGACCACTAAGTCCAAAAGATCTTAAGATCTTGATTTAACGCTATTGGATTATCGTCATTTATCGAAATATAGTATGTCAACTAATAATGATAATTATTAGTCTGTATCAGATATTTAGAAAATTGTATTTATGAAATTAGTTTTATCACCCTGTAGAATGGAAACTGGGACGTATACAGGAAAGTTATATTAAGCTTTTCCTATTAATTGGTTAAGATCTAAAGGTTGTTTTTTTAAGGATTTAACTGCCAGACTAAACTGTCAGTCTGACGCTGTTTATAAAATTTATTTTCAGTATACTTTGGCAAATTATCATGAATAGATTTACGCTTAAACAAAGCTACCAAATTCTTTAAATTTACTGTGAAAGTCAGTCCTCGGTTCGCCAAACGAAGGCCAAACGCATAGAAGACGAATTAATTTCGAGAAATTGGACCTGTTAACTATCCACCCAGGTCCTGTGATGTGACGCTCCTAGATTATTTTCTGTGGGGCTAGTCAAGTCATTAGTTTATGCTGATATACTCTCCCTAATTCACCCCCTTACGATTGAATTTTAACCCCAAAAGCTGAGCTTGTCAGGGTAAAGGGACGACTATTATTATTTGCCGTGGCGCTCCGGGGTGACTTAAATATGATTGATAGTGCCATTTGACTTACAGGTGAGGAAAACCACACCCACCATCATTGAAAACGGTAACGCATGGCGATTTTTAATAATCTGGATGTTATATCAACAGAAATTAAATTTCTGCTAATACGGCATCCATCAAATTCTATAGAGAACCATGCAAATAAATTCACATGGTCTTTCGTAGGATTTGAAACCGGTGTCTCGTTTACCACAAAATTGGCTCGCAAATGAATGCGGCGCCGTAGACACCTACGCTACTATAGTCGATAAACCAGCAATAATTGACGCTTTAGAAGCCAACATTCTTCATGTATACGACCAGAAGTGCTCGAAAAAGCCCAAAATTGGACCAAAAGAATACTCTATCTTGCGAACAGCCACGGTTGCCACATGTCGCAAATTTTTAAATGTTAATGTAATAGATTGTTTTTTTAAAATAATATTATTTTTTTAATCAGAAAACATTTTATTAATATTTTTTTAAAGTTTAAAGTACTATCATCCTTAAAAAACACCCTTTATAAGTCTCCCAATTTACGGTAGTTTATTCTGAAACACCCTGTATAACAATCCTTTATTAACAGAAATTAAAAGCCTTTAAATATATTAATAGTCACAGTATATTCTTTATAAAACGAATTCAAGACGTGTATTTCTTTTTAAGGAATTTTTTTTTAATAAAATTCTAAGAATTTTAATCTCAAAGAGGGCGTCCTGGCCTCTCTGGTGCTCTCCCTGAAGCCGCTTTTGGTTGAAGTATTCTGCATATTTCAGAAAATTAAGCTAAAATTTTGTTCCTGTATTTTTTTTATAAGGAGATGTACGTATAATTTGGTCTTTTCTGTTCTTCAAGATTTCAAATTCTGCCAAATAAAAATGTACTAGAGGTTTATAGTCAAAGTAGTGTCGGCAGTGTCGGCTTGTGAGCTGCGAAGGTGGGATGTGCCAATTGGCTTAAGGGTGGGGATTACGGAAAATTTGTTTTTTCATTAACATAGAAAAAATATCACACTGCACACTGCTCTTTGTCAATAGTCAATAAACAAAATGAAATATATTTCTTACCCAACAAAAATTTTGTATATGGGAATTAAAGGCCCAATAACTGTCACCTTCCAATTAGATTGATAGCCATTTGACTTTTTCGGACCGAAGTCACTTTACCATCATAACCAATTAATGGGCCTTCATTTTCCCTTTAATGTCTAGAAATAAATATATTGGCAATTAATGGCCTATTGATAGGAAGTTAACGGGAAATTCCTGGCCTTCTACCATATAAGGCCATGTGTCAGGCACATGATCAGATAGTATATTCGATAGTGCCTCTTTGACCAGTAGTACCGTTGGAACTATAAATTCTATACAAAAACAGAAGGCATTTCAATATAGAATATTGTAGACATTTTATTACAATGAATACTGAATAGTGAATACCAACAATGCGAGACTGGCCTCATAGTACATGTCTACTCGTTGAGTATGTAACAAGCGATCATCGGTGTCTCCATCTATGAACGTGAGACGGAGCCCTCCTGTAATGTTGGAGTTGTGTCTGCGGCAGTTAAAAGCCTTTTCACTTTTTCTATGCTTTTACCCAATACAGTTACCCTTCATAAGGCCATCATCAAGCAACATAATATTGGGCCACTATCGAAAGGCCAAAAGTAGGCTTTTATCTTTTAATCGTCGCACGCATTTTCCCTTCAATTACAGCAGAAGGCCAGCAATATTCCGGCAATTTATTGTTTGTTGGGTATAGTAAAACATCTTACAAAAATATTTTATTCTAAAAAAAAAACAAACATTGAACGACAAATTTATATTATATTTAATTTTTGTTTTTACGAAAGTTCATGACGTGGCTTCCTTAAATTGAAATCTGCTGTACGATTCTTCAATGAAATACATTTTTCTATGACCTTTTCATCGAAATTTTTCCATCGACCTTTCGATTTTGTAACTCTTGTACTCAACAAACTCCCTGAGCAGCTTCATAACACCAAAAGTCGGACAAATTTGTGACAATTGTGGTTTTGGTTTTACGGAAGCAGGAATATCAATGTTATTATCTTTTAAATACTTTATAATAGCTTCGTTCGCGGTAACAATCCTGAACTAATTCAGAATTACTAATTCATATTTTGATGCCTGATTCATTATCAATTCTGAATTTTTACCACGCGCGCAATCCCTATTATATCTCGGTGTTTCAGGTATAGACAAGCGGTTTAAAACCAATAATAATTTTACCGCGAACGCAGGATAGAACCAATAGTTCAGTTCTTTTTGTTCCGTGAGCGCTTTTTAACTACTGCGCCTGCGAAATCGTTACTATTAGTAATAATTCGGTTCACGATTCTTACCGCGAACAAAGCAATAATCTGATTTCTTAGAGCCACTATATGGCTTCTTGTGAATTTGCCGGAAATCCTATGCCGCATTGTCCATTACAATGACTGAATTAGGTGAAATATTCGATAAAAGTTGTTCAGCAAACCAGTTCTCAAAAACTTCTGCATTCATAATTTCATGATAATCCAGCAGAGTTTTATTAATATTTTTTGCTGAAAGTAGCAGAGCGTTTGGTACAAAGCCATTTTCATTTCCGGTATATAAAATTATAACTCGTTTCCTCTTCGAGCATGGTGCATTCAAAACACAATTTTGTGAACCGTCTGCCTAACCACGTTGAACGACATCAAGGTTGGAATTTGGTTTCTTTATACGTGTTGTAAACCGTTCGTCGTATCACATCTTTAGGTGCATCATCTATTCGATGGCTGACGACACGTTTTCTTTTTCACTGTTTTCAATGACAACGCCTCGTTTATTGACAAAATAAATTGTGGAAAAGGGAATTTTTGTTAACTTATATATTCTTTTAACTGCATCTATTTGTGAAATATTTGGATTTTTTGCTTTAAGACAAGCAAACATTTAAAATGACCTGTTGGAACTTGAATATGTAAGTCCTGATTTTGAAATTCCCAAGATTGTGTTTGACCTTAATTGACATTAGTATAAATTGCATTATTAATACATATTTCATCATTAATTTGTTCTGCATTTAATTATACTTTATCATTATTCTGAATTTTATTAT